TGTCTTCGACATCGTTGTTCGTGCCTGCAGGTTGTCGGCGTGTTCGTACCGATGCACACGTCGATCTTGCCCTTGATCGCTGCCTCGTGAAGCGGCGTGTAGTTCCAGTTGTCCCTGGCGTTGGCCTCCGCCCCGTGACGAAGCAACAGCGCCACCACCTGCACAAGAACAGCAACACAACAAAACTCTGTACGAGCTAAAACAAAACCAATCATTTGTTCGTAAAAACTCAGACTTTCAACCCTTTGACCTCGTTGAGCCGCTAATCTGTCAGAAAATGTCAAATCTGAGCTCAAAATCCAGATAATGGATCAGATTCACTCGACTCTACGCGTCTCATTTTAGAAACTGAAGAACTGCAAAAACAGAAACATTTGTTGGATTTTCAACTTTTCAACAGACAAGACTCTTCGTGAATCTTTAAGAGACTCATCAAAGTGTTGCTAGCACTGATTCCTCATGTCATGATGCTGCCACCTCCGTGCTTCACGGTGGCCGCCCAGGACCCAGAGGGACTCAGCTGTGACCGACATCAGCTTCAGCCACAAAACCCGCCGGCATGTTCGCAAGACGTGATCTTAAAATAAAAACCAGCAGAATGACGCAGGTTACCCGCTAGAAGCTGCTCAGACAGAAGGAATCAGCAGATGTTCACATTTCTGGCAAAGAAGAGAGAAAAAATAAAGTTCTGCAAAATTACAAAAATGACCCAAGACACAAAACGGCAAAAAAGAAAGAAAATGATGCAAACGAGACACAAAGCGTCACATTAAAAACACAACTTATCACAAATGAGACACAAAACAACAAAAACGAAACACAAAACAACATGAACCAGACACAAAATGTCAAAAACAAGAAACAAAACAACACAAACAAGACACGAAATGACACAAATGACACAAACAGTGTCACATTTAAGACCAACATATCACAAATGAGACAAAAACAACACAAACAAGTCAAAACAACGATGAGACGCAAAACGACACAAATGAGACAGAGAACAACAAAACAGAGGACAAACTCTTCCAGAGTCCATAGAGGCTGCTGTGGAGCCTCCATGTTCTCCAGCGTTGGTGACATCTGTGGACATGTTGGTTTTATGTTTAGTAAAATAAATGTTCTTGTTCCCTGGTCTCCACGGTTCTGACTGCTGACAGGAGACGTCTCTGAGTCCTGTCTCCTCCCTCAGGACCTTATATCTGTGTACATGTCTCCCTCTGCGGGGCTGGTGGGTTAGGAGGTACCTCGGCATGGCCGAAGGAGCAGGCGTTGTGCAGCGACACGAGGCCTCCGTCGTCTCTGGCGTGAACGTTCGCTCCGTTCTGCAGGAGAAAACCTACGACGTCTTTACGACCGAAACCTGCAGAGCAGAGAGAGAAAAGTCCTTCATCAGTTCATTATTCATGCTCCGTCTGAGCCGGCAGACGTCTTTGTGTCTCCTTCGTTCTGTCCCCATAAATTATTCAGGAGGTTTACGGTAAAGCAGCTCCGGCTAACGAGGAGGAGGACCAAGCAGCGGTGAGAGCTTCCTGGTCGTCGGGCTGCAGAGGCCGAGTTCACCAACACTCTGAGTTCACTGCCAGCCAGAGTTCATCCACAATCTGAAGCTCTACCATCTTAACCATACCAACCAGAAGGAAAACCAGCACAGGAACACGAACACACTCTGGTTTCAGGATGCACGTCTCCAATAAAACACTCTTCTTGTCATTTTTTTGAAAAACAAGATTTGTAGATGAAGCAGTTTTAAATATCATTCCTAAATCAACAGAACTGGATCAGAGTCTGACAGAAACGGGAGAATGTCGTCGGCGTATAGTGAGAGTTCACGTTGTCGTCCAGATCTGTTGGTTCCAGAGGGCTGAACCACGAAGCCAGAGTGGAGGGTCATCAGGTATGCTGAGCTGAAGTCTGAAAAAGCTGAGTTTTCAGTGGCTCACTTTTTACCTGCACGGTCTCCATGGCAACTGATGCTGNGGTGCTAACCACTGATCCACCTGCAGCCCTGCTGTTATTAAACTGAAATCACATCTAATTCATGTAATCACAACGTTAAACATCATGATGACATGATTTGATTCTGAGGTCGTAACAACTTCTGTAACCGTCCAAAAGGAGTTTGTTTTTATCTTCTGTCTTAATTTTATGAATGTTTGAATCATTAAAACTGAATAAAAATACAACAGATGAGATGTTTAAAAGATGTTTGGTTAAAGCTCATTAGGAGGTCATGTGACCGCGGGTTAGCTAAGGGCAGAGCAAACTACCGTAATGTCTGGACTATGAGTCGCTACTTTCTTCACACGATTCGAACGCTGTGTCTTAAACAATCGTGCAGTTAATTTATGGATTTTTACTAATTCACCTCGAGACCAAAGTGAGGCTGAGAGCGACACCGACAGAGAGATTGAGGAAGTGATGAAGTGATTCTGAGGCTGTTCAGCTCCTGAAGACACTGAAGAAGACGACTTTAGTGTCTTCTGCATCTTAGAGACACCTGCAGCCTGTAGATGTTCACACCTGGTTCTCTGTTTAAAGTCAGTGGGTGGGGCTTATATTCAGGTGCCCCTATAGTCCAGACATTACGGTAAAATAACTACTCTGTGAAGTGTTCGGTATCAGTGGCAGCGCTCCGTGTGGACGCTTTAACGAGCCTGAAGCAGCGACTGCTGGAATCAGAGACCCTTTCTGGGGAACTTTGTGTGTTTGAACCGTTGTATGTGTTGAACTGTTGGTAGAACTGGTGCTGGTTCTGGCCTTAGCGTACCCCTTGTCCTTGGCGTGAACGTCGGCTCCGTGTTGCAGCAGCAGCTGGACGGTCTTGACCCGGTTGTAACCCGCTGCCAGGTGTAGCGGCGTCGACTGAAACAACAACAACGTTCACCTGTACGGTGACAGTCATGACAACAAGCAGCCAACCAGCTGCACCGTCTGTCCAGGTGTGTTTATGAATTATCACCCAGGTCCAGATGTTTCACCGTTTATTATCTAATTACTACGATAAATATTTCAGCTTTAGATTTTAATTCTGACTCCTCCAACTTGTACTCGTTGTGTTTCAGTCACTTTAAACTCTCCATGAAGTCATTTCTCCATCGTTTCATATCATTCAGACTTTTATCTGCTGTTGTCAAACAGAAACCTCTTAATCCTTTATTTTATATTTAAAGCATTTATTCATACATTTGAACTCTATTTTTAAATTATTCATTCATTATTTTAAACTATTCATTACATGCATTTATCATTTATTCTGAACTATAGTTTTCAATCATTTATCTGCTCATTTCAAACACATATTTCAGTCATTTATCCAACATTTAAACTACATATTTCAACCAATAATCAATTAACTCAGACGATATATTTTCACCAATTATTCATTCAATTTAATCCTTCATGTTAAACATTATATTTATATATTTTATATTTATAAACTTCAATATATTATAAAATTTAACTATTTTTAAAAAACCCACATAATTCAGTCGTTAAATATTATTATTTATTCATTCTTTAAACTATGTATTTCAACCAACTATCCATTAATTCAAACTACTTTTTAAAAATAATTTATCCATTAAATTGAAACTATATAATTCAGTCATTTATCGATTATTTTAAAGTGTGTATTTCA